TGTGTGAGTGTGTGGTTTGAGATTAATTGTTTCATTCTCTGAATGGAAAGACACTCAGTGACCCCAAGGTTTGTTACACATGTACAACGATGATAGCTAGCATACACTGTTCATCTTCTGAAGAATCATGTACTGTATAAGTAAACTCAATGCGCATGCAAAACTATAACTCTATCTTTCTATAGGACTAACGTCCAGAACAGCTGGGAGTTACGAACATTTAGTGAAGCACCTATTTGGAAATGTTAGCCTGATTGCAGCAGTGTTGAGCTGGTTGCCTTTCTACACCACTCTGTAATTCCATTCCTGACAGACTCTGGGGACGGGTCAGAAGGGAGGGACACCAGGACCTCTGCCCTACCATGTCAAAGTTTCAAAACATGACAGCATGGTCAACTCAAACACCGAAATGTGATGAGCAGCCTTTAGACACTGCACAATGTAAACTAAATCATGCATGGCTCAAACTAGTTTGTCATGGCCTACAAGGAGCTATGATTGATGCTGTTAAAAATGACAGTACATTTAAATAATAATATGCCATTTAGCAGACGCTTTTATCCAAAGCGACTTACAGTCATGCGTGCATACATTTTTTTTTGTGTGTATGGGTGGTCCCGGGGATCGAACCCACTACCTTGGCGTTACAAGCACCGTGCTCTACCAGCTGAGCTACAGAGTTTTGCAGACAAATAATATTCAGTACTTGACACAAAACACTGATAAGAAATTAGGAATTCACATTGAAATAGACATACCATTAAACACAACCAAACTGAATTGGGTGCACACACACAGTATCTGCATCAGAGCCGGGGCGGCCTGGGACAACAATTCGGCCCTGGCATTTTATCCACACCAGCCCACATCACTGCACGCGCTGCCAACTCCTTGTCCAAATAGGACTCCAGAATTTCCTTACTTTTATAATTTTTTAATAGAGATTAATTATATACATCTTTATGTAGATTAATATCATAGGCTAATTCATTTGTGGTTCAAAACCTTTGGAAGTGGAAAAAACACATTAAATAGATTGTTAACTGTAAATATAATACCCACTGCTAGTCCTAAAAAAAACTTTGCAGTTCTAGGCACAGCACTCCATATCCCGAAGCAATATAAAATATCTTGGTTGTAAAATAGTTGCTATTATGCTGGATATTGAGAGTTGAGAAATAAATATATACCTACAGAAAGCTGAGACCCTCCTCTCTTCGACAGGGACAAGTGGGCGAAGCTTTCAAAGCTGTGTTTTCACTTCAATTGCATTTTGAAACGTTATATGTACTCTCTCGAGCGCATGGGAAGAGAGGAGAGTGGCTCGCTCATCACAGCAGCAGGCCCCCGTGAGGGCACAGGCACAGGGGCAGGGCAGACAATTTCGTTACAGGAATCATGAGGATAATGCACCAAATCAGGGTTTTAGCCGCCCTCATTTTTTTTGAGTGAGGTGACAATGTAGAATGTGCTCTTTCTACGTTTATAAGCACCCTTTACATTTTTTACGATCCATGATCTTGACTGTCTGACGACAGAGTCGGAGCAGGTCTCTTTGCTGATGCCACATTTGACTTTGAATGTGATTTTGTGTGACCTCAGCTCAGCCTATCAGAAAACCAGGCTGGCCCATCTTGGTAGGGAGGCCGGCCGTTGCCCCCTGATCAGCCAAAGGCTCATTATAGATTAGTATAACAGAGAAATTGGCCAAAAATGTATATAAAAGAAATCTTAACAGGCCCATGGGCCACCGGCCATTTCACCTCTTTCATTGTTTTATTTTTTATATACACTACCGGTCAAAAGTTTTAGAACACCTAATCATTCAAGGGTTTTTCTTTATTTTTACTATTTTCTACATTGTAGAATAATAGTGAAGACATCAAAACTATGAAATAACACATATGGAATCATGTAGTAACCAAAAAATTGTTAAACAAATCTAAATATATTTCATATTTGAGATTCTTCAAATAGCCACCCTTTGCCTTGATGACAGCTTTGCACACTCTTGGCATTCTCTCAACCAGCTTCAGGAGGTAGTCACCTGGAATGCATTTCAATTAACAGGTGTGCCTTCTTAAATGTTAATTTTAACGTGTTTGAGCCAATCAGTTGTGTTGTGACAAGGTAGGGGGGGTATACAGAAGATAGCCCTATTTGGTAAAATACCAAGTCCATATTATGGCAAGAACAGCTCAAATAAGCAAAGAGAAACGACAGTCCATCATTACTTTAAGACATGAAGGTCAGTCAATACGGAACATTTTAAGAACTTTGAACGTTTCTTCAAGTGCAGTTGCAAAAACCATCAAGCGCTATGATGAAACTGGCTCTCATGAGGACCGCCACAGGAATGGAAGACCCAGAGTTATCTCTGCTGCAGAGGATAAGGTCATTAGAGTTACCAGCCTCAGAAATTGCAGCCCAAATAAATGCTTCACAGTTTTCAAGTAACAGACACATCTCAACATCAACTGTTCAGAGGAGACTGTCTGAATCAGGCCTTCATGGTCGAATTGCTGCAAAGAAACCACTACTAAAGGAAACCAATAATAAGAAGAGACCTGCTTGGGCCAAGAAACATGAGCAATGGACATTAGACCGGTAGAAATGTGTCCTTTGGTCTGGAGTCCAAATTGGAGATTTTTGGTTCCAACCGCCGTGTCTTTGTGAGACGCGGTATGGGTGAACGGATGATCTTCCCATGTGTATTTCCCATCGTAAAGCATGGAGGAGGAGGTGTTATGGTGTGGGGGGGCTTTGCTGGTGACACTGTCTGTGATTTATTTAGAATTCAAGGCACACTTAACCAGCATGGCTACCACAGCATTCTGCAGTGATACACCAACCCATCTGGTTTGGACTTAGTGGGACTATCATTTGTTTTTCAACAGGACAATCACCCAACACACCTCCAGGCTGTGTAAGGGCTATTTTACCAAGAAGGAGAGTGATAGAGTGCTGCATCAGATGACCTGTCCTCCACAATCACCCGACCTCAACCCAATTGAGATGGTTTGGGATGAGTCGGACCGAAGAGTGAAGCTTTGCAACAAGTGTTCAGCATATGTGGGAACTCCTTCAAGACTGTTGGAAAAGCATTCCAGGTGAACCTGGTTGAAAGAATGCCAAGAGTGTGCAAAGCTGTCATCAAGGCAAAGGTTGGCTATTTGAAAAATCTCAAATATATATTTTTTTTGGTTACTACATGATTCCATATGTGTTATTTCATAGTTTTGATGTCTTCACTATTATTCTGCAATGTAGAAAACAGTAAAAATATAGAAAAACCTTTGAATGAGTAGGTGTTCTAAAACTTTTGACCGGTAGTGTATATAAAAAATATGTTTGTGTGTGTCAATTTCGACCATCCCATCCAACAACAAAAATCGTCCAGCAACCAGAATTGCCAGATGGCCAATCCACCCCTGTATCTGAGCAGCCTATAGACCCCAAAATAACTAGGGTCAGGGGTGATGAGTGAGGACTCTGAAGACCACCACTCTAGTCCAGGTTGCCTCATCCAGATCCCTATGGATATGTTTGTGTGTGTGAATGCCACTGCTTGAGTGCATTCATGGCCGGCACTTTGGGCTCTGCAGATAAGCCCCAAGTTGCGCTGGACCTGGATCCATTTCAGCCTGGACAATCCAGTAGTGACCCAGCTGGCCAAAGGCCAATAGAAAGCTGGATGCAACAAGCTGGATGCTGGATGCAACACCAGTAGCTATATATGGTTTGCCAAATTGAGTTAAAAAAAAATCTACTTTAGATCCTTTAATGAAATAAAGAATACCTTGCTGAGTTCTTATCAGTTTTCTTCATCTCAGCAGTGACAGTTTAACCACACGCCGTGTGGTGAGGTAATCTAGTCAGAACGTCAAGCTCAAACAGCTCAAACAGTCTGATCCATAATTATTGGCACAGTTGATAAAGATGAGCAAAAAAGACTGTATAAAATAAATAATACAAATACTGCGTTATATTGCATGTGAAAAAAATACCATATATATATTATTTTATAGTAATACAATTGCTCAGAGAATACAAAAAATTCAAAAAAATGATAGGGTTTCCATATACTGATATCCTTCGTCTGCCCTTATGGACTGCCCTCTTCATTTCAAACCACAGGTTTTCAATGGGGTTCAAGTCCTGAGACTGAGATGGCCATTGCTTTTGATTTTACTGGTCAATTAACCATTTCTTTGTGGATTTTGATGTGTGCTTGGGGTTATTGTCTTGCTGGAAGATCCACTTGTGACCAAGTTTCAGCCTCCTGGCAGAGGCAACCAGGTTTTTGGCTAAAATGTCCTGGTACTTGGTGAAATTGTTACTTGTTAAACAAAAACTCTTTCTCTGAGCAATTGTATTAGTACAAAAAAATATTATTTCATTTTTTTTGGAGCATTCATTATACTGTAGCCAATAATTATGGAACTGACTGTATGTGGTGCGTTCAATCAGCATATTCTCAGGGTACATAGGCTTGGTTACAGAGCAAGGAGGAAGTAAATACAATGTGGTTGAAATAGTTGTTTCAGCTGTAAAATGGAAAAAGGGGCCTACCAAACCATTGCACAAACTCATTTTCAATTATTGAAAGAAATATCAGGAAACAACTTTTATTTCCCTATTACATTTGTGACTGGAGAGATGACTAATACAGTATACTATCTTCACTGTGCTCAAGTCTTTATTAAAGATAAGCATGCATGACTGTATTTTTAAATGCACCTGCACAATTGTCGTTTAATAGACACAGTCCTGTTAGCATTGAGAACGTTGAGAGGTTGTAGTGGTATTAGCACATGTACTCGTGGTTCCCTAGAGGGCTGTATTAGTGTGTATTTGTGTGAGTGTGTGAGCGTGAACGTGAGTGTGTGTGCATGTGCCCATATTGGTACATCCAGCAGTGACAGAACCTTTAATCTTCCAAGAGCAGTTAAGGTGCTTCTGCCTTATAAAGCATTATGTGTGTCAGTGTGTGTGTAGGAGTGTGGGTGCCCTTTGCAGTAGCCAGTTTGTAATCAGCTGTCGAAGTGGGCTCTGAGTCTTAGCTTTAGTAGCTGTATCCGAGCGGTAGCGCTCTCCTCTAACCCTGGTCCACTCAGCCACCCACACGGCCCTCTGATCCACAGCACAGCTGCAGTAAGGTGATGGAAGGACAGAGGGACACTCGCTAAACCTGAGCTTCACCACTACACTAACTGGCACATGCATGCAAGTTGCATGCCGGTTGTGTGTATGGGTTTGTGTGTGTGTGTGTGTGTGTATAGTGTTTGTTGCAACATATGTGTGCATGTTTGTTGATCGAGGAAATTGTGATACTCTACTAAAAAGGTAAGACAACCATCAGTCAGTTTTCTGATCAGTGTTTTGGTTGATGCTATTTTTTATGCTTGAGTAAGATCAATGTCGATTCAAATGCAATGAAATTATTGTTTTATGAGATTTCTATATGTACTTAAACACCAATTTTATAGTTTATGTACATCTACAAAATGTGCGTTAACACATCTTGCAGAGAAGGCTTGTGGTATTGCAAAAAATGATTATTTGTTATGATAATGCATGATACATCATATGATGACAAAAACCTTAAAAGTATTCTAAATTGATCAGTTTACAACTTATCAATATTGAATGTGTACAAGGAAAAACTATCAATAGTGATTGTAAAACCCATATTGCTTCCTTTTGTTAACTATTTTGTGATTTAACATTTCTGAACATATAGTAGCGCCTACAAAATGAGTTCCAATGTAATTTAATTTTGTCATTTCATAGCGAGATCTCGTTTAATGTTTAATGTTCTCGTTAAAATAAACTATACATACATCCACTCCAGAATATTATATTATACACTTATTCAAAATAACTAATTTTGGTAACTAATTTCAAGTCCAACTGAATGAGATTGTATTATTGTAGTAGTTGACATTATTCAGAAAGGAAATTATGAAAGAGGAAGTCTAAAATAAATGTTGTTGCATTAATTCAATGTAGCCCATCTTTATTGTATACGTTTTAATTAGGCATTTACAGTATAATGTTACTGCTAGAATAAGAGCAACATGTTCAGTCACCACACAGTACTTTATGATTGGGTTTGTTATTAACCGGTGTTGTTGTGTTTTTAGCAGTTGGTGTGATTATTTGCTATTTTATTTTACCTCAGCCTACACAAAACATAACAATCTTTGAGAAGTATTTAGGCTGTCACATAATAAGATAACCAGGCCATACAGAATGCATGTTCTGACTCAAAGTAATCCACCTTGTCATACAAATACGCCACCGATAATTCAGAACACCTGCAACATGTCGACATCACATGTAATCTAATCCCATCAATGTTTTTCACGCCATGTGATACTGTAAAATGTTAGGTTTTGCAGTGAGTGCTGAGTGTGTCGTATTAGTGTGTATGAATGACTGTGGTACAGCGTCAGTGCTGGGTGGGCCAGTGTTTCTCAGCTGAAAGGAGTCGACCGAGGTAGAGGGGCATGCATACAGTTACAGTAGTAAGACTGGCTATGGATAGATCTCTTTTCTGGAGATTGTGGTTGTGATTCACCCTTTATTTAACTGTCAGATTAATTATTAGGAATGGCTCGATAAACACGTTGGTAAAAACAAAAGTGACCTCAAAATGAAGCTCTGTTGTCTTGGTATAATCTTGGTACAGTGCATTCGGAAACTATGCAGACCCCTTCCCTTTTTCCACATTTTGTTACAGCCTTATTCTAAAATGGATTAAATAAAAACATTTCCTCATCAATCTACACACAATACCCCATAATGATGAAGCAAAAACAGGTTTTTATAAATGTGTATAAAAAACTGAAATACCTTATTTACATAAGTATTTAAACCCTTTGCTATGAGACTCAAAATTGAGCTCAGGTGCATCCTGTTTCCATTGATCATCCTTGAGATGTTTCTACAACTTGATTGGCGTCGACCTGTGGTAAACTGAATTGATTGGACATGATTTGGAAAGGCACACACCTGTCTATATAAGGTCCCACAGTTAACAGTGTATGTCAGAGCAAAAACCAAGCCATGAGGTCAAAGGAATTGTCCGTAGAGCTCAGAGAAAGGATTGTGTCGAGGCATTGAAGGTCCCCAAGAACACAGTGGCCTCCATCATTCTTAAATGGAAGAAGTTTGGAACCACCAAGACTCTTCCTATAGCTGGCCGCCCAGCCAAAACTGAGCAATCAGGGGAGTAGGGCCTTGAACAGGGAGGTGACCAATAACTCGAAGGTCACTCTGACAGAGCTCCAGAGATACTCTGTGGAGATGGGAAAACCTTCCAAAAGGACAACCATCTCTGCAGCACTCCACACAATCAGGCCTTTATGGTAGAGTGGCCAGACGGAATCCACCCCTCAGTAAAAGGCACATGACAGCCCGCTTGGAGTTTGCCAAAAGGCACCTAAAGGACTCTCAGACCATGAGAAACAAGATTCTCTGGTCTGATGAAACCAAGATTGAACTCTTTGGCCTGAATGCCAAGCGTCACATCTGGAGGAAACCTGGCACCATCCCTACGGTGAAGCATGGTGGTGGCAGCATCAGGCTGTGGGGATGTTTTTCAGCGGCAGGTACTGGGAGGCTAGTCAGGATCGAGGGAAAGATGAATAGAGCAAAGTACAGAGAGATCCTTGATGAAAACCTGCTCCAGAGCACTCAGGACCTCAGACTGGTCAACGACCCTAAGCACAGAGCCAAGACAACGCAGGAGAGGCTCCGGGACAAGTCTCTGAATGTTTTTGAGTGGCCCAGCCAGAGCCCGGACTTGAACCCATCCAACCTGACAGAGCTTGAGAGGATCTGCAGAGAAGAATGGGAGAAACTCTTATGGGGTATTGTGTGTAGATTGATGACAAAAAAATTATAAAAATTCATACATTTTATAATAAGACTGTAACGTAACAAAATGTGGAGAAGGTCAAGGGGTCTGGATACTTTCCGAATGCACTGTATATACTGTATAGTGTGTTTTCATCCGTGCATCGCCAATAATTGTTTGTTGTGAATTGTGCAGAGGGATTGGATCATTACATTCATTAACCCATGGCTCTTTGATTGTCAGATTTTAGACAGAGAGAGACAGAAACAGAGAGAGAGAGAGATGATTGAGCTGGGCCTTGCAGATGGCAGTCTGATCGATGAACTGATGAAGCTGACGGCTCAGAGCCTGAGCCACTTGGTGATCAAAGAGCACTTCAACATTATCAAGGAGATCGGCCGGGGGAAGTATGGCAAAGTGCTGCTGGTCACCCATCGCTGCAGGGGTAAGTAGCCCACTCATAGTTTAAAAGTCTGAAATACTAAGGGCTTTCCTTTGGTTCAATGACAAAATGAAAAAATTAATTGATTTCATGTAGCTTGGAAAGTGGCAGAATTTTAAAAAATCAAATTACCCTTAGAATTTGTTTCATAGTGTACTGCCAATACTGGATCTAATGCTGGTGCTAATATAATTTATACCGTCTGCTATCTCAAGTGTTTTCTGGCCATAAACATCTCTTATGGTCATAACATTTTGCCAAGTTGTTATAAAACATAAAAATATGGATGTTTTGCAGGAACACCGATGGCTCTGAAAGTGATGCCAAAAGCTTCCACCAAGCTCCAGGGATTCTTACGGGAGTACTGCATCTCCTTGCACCTATCCTGCCACCCCTGCATCATAGGTCTCTTCGGAATCGCCTTCCAATCCAATGAGCACTATGGCTTTGCCCAGGAGCTTGTAATTGGGAGGGACCTTTTTGCCGTCATCCAACCAAAAGTACGATTGTGTTTGATTTTGATATAGAAAATCTGTGACCTAAGTACATAGTGTTTTAGAATTCAATCAAGATGATTAGTGAATATTGTCAATGTATACCCTTTTGAGTATCCATAAGCGCAATGTACTGTTAAAAATGGTCCATATGCACTGTACAGTCTTCTAATTCACGTTAGACAAGTCTCAATGACCACAAAGCTCTAACAGTTTCCAATCCTCTGCTCCCAGGTGGGTATCCCTGAGAGTGCAGTGAAGCGCTGCGTCCTGCAGATTGCCAGCGCCCTGGAGTTCATCCACGAGCACAGCCTGGTCCACCGCGACATCAAACCTGAGAACATCTTGCTGCTGGACAGCCACTGCTGCCGGGTAAAGCTGGCCGACTTCGGCCTGGCCCAGACGAGAGGCACTCTGATTCGCTTCATCTCCGGCACGCTGCCCTACATGGCCCCAGAGCTGTGTGCCTGTAGCCCTGGAGGAGGGCCAGAAGGAGGTGACAGCGCCCCCGCTTAGTGTGGAGCCCAGCCTGGACACCTGGGCCTTCGGAGTGGTCATCTTCTGCATCCTCACCGGCTACTTCCCCTGGGAGCGCTGTGTGGCCTCAGACGACTTCTACCAGGAGTTTGCTGATTGGTGCCAGGCACCCACCGTGGAGGAAGTTCCACCCCTGTGGAAGAGATTCACCCCAGCTGCCATGGAAATGTTCAGCAGGCTGTTGGAGCTGGATGCTAAGAACAGATGCACGGTAGGGGAGGTCAGGTCCTATGTGGAAAAGGACTGGGTTTTGCCAACGCTGGTGGACACAAACGGACTGCAACCGGAGAATGGCAAGGTCAATGCCACCTGCTCCACCCCTGGTGTGTGTAGGAGTAGTCCTGTCCATGAGGAGGTGGAGTAAAGGTCCTCAGTGGAACGGTGTCTGTGTACACCTCCAGCTCATGGTATCCACTATCCAATTTACAGGGAGCGCAAGGTGTGCATTCAACACCACTCTTACAATGCACTGATAAGTAGGGTAACTGAATTATACTCAACATCAGTCCAGAGAGTCACACAAGGGCTATATTTGAAGTGAAGGGGAAAAAGCTCTGATAGTATATGAGTGTACTGTAAACGCAGCACTATTTGAGTGTCGGTGAGCTCGTAATATTCTGTGTGTATGTACACAATATTGGTAACCTGTTACATTTATTGTAACCACAATAAATGTGACAATGTAACACAAGAGCTTGTAACTACTGTAGCATAGGAGCAGCTAATGCTATATTGTGTGTGACTACACAACATTGGTAAACTGAGAAATATACTGTAACACAGAACTTGTTCCTAGCATAGGAGCAGCTATTTTCAGAACAATACTTTATATTGTGTATTTTAGAATCTCTCACTGCACAAAATAAAAGCATTAGAATAATTTCATAGAGGGAGAGTGTGCACTGTGCGTTCAATCTGGCTTAGTGGCAGTGTTCACTTTGGCAGTGCTCAATGTTTTCTCAAATGTTTTTGTAGTGTGTCACACTGTACAGGCTGTTCCGTGAATGAGGCTACCTCAGTTTGTCTATTTCTGTGCCTACTCTCATTGTTCATGATAAATCCATATTCAAAAATAGATATACAGAATATATATTTACTGTATATTGAATATAAAAATAATGTAATAGACTGAATATGAAAGTAATTATGAACATAGGTAAATATCCAGAGTATAATTTTGAGATCTTCCACAACCGGCCCCAGACACTTACGAAAATGACAGTCACACTGAAAGGAGTTTCAAATTCACATTGTTTGAATACAATTTCAAGTAAAGCCAACAAATTGGGAGCTGCTATATAACAATTAACTCTGTCACCCTAAATAGAAATTGATGTTCAAATCGTGCTTTTTTGTGCACTGTAAAAAAAATCCTCCTGTTTTTACGGTAACTTATTGGCAAACAGGTAGAGTATGTTACGGTAAATACCGTAAACTTTACAGTAGTGTACTCTTAAACCAAAGTTTCTTTGGAATTTACGGTAACATACTGTAACAATTTTTTTCTCGATTCAAATACATACTTATTGTGTATAGGTTGCACCTAAGGTTTTTGACACAGTGTTTGAGTATGCCTTTGGTATGAACAAATAAACATAATCCATCTCCTCTGTCTGCTTCTTTTCATCCACACTCGCGGGTGTATCATATTTCCTTCTTTGAAGCTCCGTCCATAACCTAAGTGATTCATAGTCGCACCACTCTCCCTCTCCTACCACCCCCTCACCCCTCACCACTCTCCCTCTCCTACCAAATCAAATCAAATCAAATTGTATTTGTCACATGCTTCGTAAACCACAGGTGTAGACTAACAGTGAAATGCTTACTTACGGGCCCTTCCCAACAATGCAGTGAGAAAGAAAATAGAGAAATAATAGAAAAGTAAAACATACATAATAAATACACAATGAATAATGACAATTTGGCTATATACAAGAGGTACCAGTACCGAGTCGATATACAGGGGTACGAGGTAATTCAGGTAGATATGTACATATACCTAGGAATAAAGTGATAGATAATAAACAGTAGCAGCAACATATGTGATGAGTCAAAAAACATAAGTGTGAAAAGGGTCAATGCAGATAGTCCGGGTAGCTATTTGGTTAACTAATTAACTAACTTTTTAGCAGTCTTGTGTCTTGGGGGTAGAAGCTGTTCAGGATCCTCAAATGAAAGGAGGACCAAGGAATGTTCAATGGAAATTATGTTGGTTCCAGACTTAGTGCATCGGTACTGCTTGCCGTGCGGTAGCAGAGAGAACAGTTTATGACTTGGGTGGCTGGAGTCTTTGACAATTTTAAGGGCTTTCCTCTGACACCGCCTGGTTTAGAAGTCCTGGATAACAATGATGTACTGGGCCGTACACAAGGGCCTCTGTAGCGACTTGCGTTGGATGCCAAGCAGTTGCCATACCCTGGTGATGCAGCCAGTCAAGATGCTCTCAACGGTGCAGCTGTATAACTTTTTGAGGATCTGAGGACCCATACCAAATCTTTTCAGTATCCTGAGGGGGAAGAGGCGTTGTCGTGCCCTCTTCACGACTGTGTTGGTGTGTGTGGACCATAATAGATCCTTAGTGACGTGGACACCGAGGAACTTAAAGCTCTCGACCCGCTCCACTACAGCCCTGTTGATATGAATGGGGGCATGCTCGGCTCTCCATTTCCTGTAGTCCACGATTAGCTCCTTTGTCTTGCTGACGTTGAGGGAGAGGTTGTTGTCCTGCACCACACTGCCAGGTCTCTGACCTCCTCCCTATAGGCTGTCTCATCGTCATTGGTGATCAGGCCTACCACCGTCGTTTCATCCGCAAACTTAAAGGGACACTTCGGGATTTTGGCAATGAGGCCCTTTATCTACTTCCCCAGAGTGCGATGAACTTGTGGATTCCATTTTTATGTCTCTGTATGCAGTTTGAAGGAAGTTGCTAACTAGCACTAGCGCAATTGCTAACTAGCGTTAGAGCAATGACTGGAAGTCTATGGGTATCTGCTAGCATGCTAAAAATGGTATCCACAAGTTCATCTGTTTCTGGGGAAGTAGATGAAGGGTCTCATTGCCAAAATCCTGAAGTATCCCTTTAGTGATGGTGTTGGAGTCATGCATGGCCACGCAGTCGTGGGTGAACAGGGAGTACAGGAGAGGACAAAGCACACACCCCTGAGGGGCCCCCGTGTTGAGGGTCAACGTGGCAAATTTGTAGTTGCCTACCATCACCACCTGGGGGTGTTCCCTCAGGAAGTCCGGGATCCAATTGCATAGGGAGGTGTTCAGTCCCAGGGTCCTTAGCTTAGTGATGAGCTTGGAGGGCACCATGGTGTTGCATGCTGAGCTGGAGTCAATGAACAGTATGAAAAAAATGTATGCACTCACTAACTGTAAGTCGCTCTGGATAAGAGCGTCTGCTAAATGACTAAAATGTAAATGTAAATGTAAACAGCATTCTCACTTCGGTGTTCCTCTTGTCCAGGTGTTAAAGGGCAGTGTGGAGTGCAATAGAGATTGCGTCATCTGTGGATCTGTTGGGGTGGTATGAGAATTGGAGTGGGTCCAGGGGGTCTGGGATGATGGTGTTGATGCCATGACTGCCCTTTCAAAGCATTTCATGGCTACAGATGTGAGTGCTATGGGCTGATAGTAATTTAGACAGGTTACCTTGGCATTCTTGGGCACAGGGACTATGGTGATCTGCTTGAAACGTGTAGGTATTACAGACTGGGTCAGGGAGAGGAAAATGTCAGTGAATACACTTGCCAGCTAGTCAGTGCATGGTTTGAGTGCACATCCTGGTAATCCATCTGGCCCTGTTGCCTTGTGAATGTTAACCTGTTTAAAGGTCTTACTCACATCGGCTATGGAGAGAGTGATCACACAGTCGTCTGGAACAGCTGGTGCTCTCATCGATGGTTCAGTGTTGCTTGCCTAAAAGGCATTAAGCTCGTCTGATAGGCTCACGTCACTGGGCAGCTCGTGACTGGGTTTGCTTGTAATCCATGGCTTCTGGTTGGGATCTGTACGTACGGTCACTGTGGGGACAACGTTATTGATGCACTTATTAATGAAGCTTTGTATGCGTTTCTGTGTGTGGAGTAAAGGTGATCTAGAGTTTTTTCGCCTATTGTTGCACAGGTGAAACGCTGGTAGAAATTAGGTAAAATGAATTTCAGTTTCCCTGCATTAAAATCACCGGCCACTAGGAGCGCCACCTCTGGATGAGCATTTTATTGTTTGCTTATGGCTCTATGCAGCACGTTGAGTGCGGTCCTAGTGCCAGCATCTCTTTTTGGTGGTAAATAGACAGCTACAAAAAATATAGATGTAAACTATCTTGGTAAATAGTATGTTCTACAGCTTATCATGTGTTATTCTAACTCAGGTGAGGAGAACCTCTAGACTTCCTTAATATTAGAGGTTGCGCACTAGCTGTTAACGAAAAGATACACACCTCCCCCCTTGAGTTTACCTGACGATGCCTTTCTGTCCTGCCGATGCATATAAAAAACAGCTAGATATACAGTACCAGTCAAAAGTTTGGACACACCTACTCATTGCTTTATTTTTTTACTATTTTCTACATTGTAGAATAACAGTGAAGACATCAAAACTATGAAATAACACATATGGAATCATGTAGTAACCAAAAAAGTGTTAAACAAATCAAAATATATTTTATATTTGAGATTCTTCAAAGTAGCCACCCTTTGCCTTGATGACAGCTTTGCACACTCTTGGCATTCTCTTGTGATGGACATTTTTATTTTTGTGCTTTTCTATTTACCAATTTCTATGTTCTATGTTTATGCTTTTCTATAAACCAATTTCTGAGTTCATGCAAGTGACTGATGAAAAATCCTCACTATCAGTATCTGAAATTTGGCAGTATGCCCAGAACCTTGTTTAGAGAAAGGGATATCTCAGTTTCAAGGTCTCAGCTTAGAGAGAAGATGTCTCGTGAGGTATTGGTCTGTCACATGCATGACCCAGTATTGGTCTTCACATGAATAAAGCAAACATTAATTTTGAATGATGAATAAGCTAAATCATGCAAATATAACTTGTCACTATATAAGGGAACTAACTGGACTGCCCTGTTACATTTTAGTCATTTAGCAGACGCTCTAATCCAGAGCAATTTACAGTTAGTGAGTGCATACATTATTTCTTTATTTTTCATACTGGCCCCCCGTGGGAATTGAACCCACAACCCTGGCGTTGCAAATGCCATGCTCTACCAACTGAGCTACATCCCTGTTAGAGCTTCGGACAGACATTCACTACGGTGAATCAAGTTTGTTGGAACCTCTCCAGCGAGCTGACAACAAACAATGATTCATTTAAGATTGACTTCGAGTGTACCTGTGT